GGAGATAACAGAATTATCAGAGGTCTAACCCAGAAATATGGTTACTCATTCTTATCCTTTGGGTTATGTATGAAAACAAACTGGCTGAACCCCAATTAAGAAAGATGGACTGCCTCTAGATGGGTAGATGAGGCATATGATAACTCTTTCAGAAAACTTTTTTGCTCTTTTGGCTAAAGGATTTATCACCACTTTTTTTTTCCATTTAAAAAAGTACAATAGGTGTTTAATATCTACAGAGATGTACCCAGTATACACATTCTTTAGACTAAGTACTAGGCTACAAGGTACCTTAAAGCTGTACTTTGATGCCTAAAAGTCAGAAAAACCCAGAAGCCTTGAGAACTTCCTAAACTAAAAAGACCTGACCCCATGGACTATGCTTGCAACAAACATAGGGATGGTGTTGGGAATGGGTATAAAGTGTATACAACCTAAGTGAGCTCTGGAGACCCCAACCAATCAATGAGTTGCCTCAGATGTAATATCTAGTACAAAGATTCCCATATGAGAAGAAAGTATTTCATAATCTCTTCCTTTACCCTAGTACTTTTTGAACTTCTCCCAAGGTCATGTTGAAAAAAAAAATTCTGCCTGTATGTGTAATTGGAAAAGCTTCTAATTCATAACCTTTCTATTGAGATCTGGATCTGCTCTCATCTCCCAAATTCTTAAAGGTCCCCAATCTGAACCTGAAATAAATCCCTCAGATTCTCACTAGAGAAGTCCCTTGACTGTGCTGCAATGAGAAATGTAGCAGATTACTTATATCCTAAGATATATGGGAAGGGTGGTCTACAAACTAGGTGAGTGGCAGCTTTATACAGTAGATAGGGCACTGGACTTAGAGTCAAGAACGACCTGGTTTCAAATCCTCATTTATAAACATAAAGCTGTGTCGACTGGGGCAACACACAACCTTTCAGCATCTCAGTTTTCTTATCTTTAAAAGAGGAGGGCAAGTGGCCCATTCAGAGTCATAAAGTAATGGCTAACTTCCATTCCATTCCAATTCAAACTTCCAGTTTTAAATCTTTAAGGAAATTCTTTTCTTTAATCTTTGATCTGGAACTTTCCTTTAAAAAATGCTGCAATGAATTTTCACCTTTTAAAGTCTTCCAGAATCTTCAGTTTGTGTAGTTTTGCCTTCTTAATTGAATAGATGCATCAAGTTTATAACTTTCCTGGACTGTGATCTACCCCTTTACCATTGCTGTTTATAAATACAGGCATGTGGGCACTTTCTGGGTACTTTTGACTTTGCAAATCTCCCTCCTCATTTTAAAGTAGCTATCTACAGCTATTGCATAGCTAAGGGATTCTTGGTGACATTTTAGTTTCAAAAGGTCATCTAGGCTGTTTTGCATCAAAGGTCTATATCAGGATTCCCCTTTTTCATCTGTGCTATATTTGAAGTTCTTGAAAATTTCCATTACTAAAAAATACCCATCATAAGGGGGAACACTTATAATAGTTTATGTTGTGTGTAGGTGAGGGAACATAGAAAGGTAACTACAAATTATGCTCCTCTGTCACTAGAAATATTAGACAAGCATTAATGGAGCAGTCAATAACAGTGAGCTAAGAGATTTTTCTTGCCCTTCACCTTAGTTTTTTCATTAGATTAATGCAATTCATAATTGACAAATTAGAAAATGATTTCATCACAATATATGATGCCATTTGGTTGAGAGGCAGCATAAGCAGAGAACACAATATTAAGCACAGAGTTTTGAGACACTTGAAATAGACTGCCACCTTCGACTTTGACTAGCTATGTGACCATGAGCCAGGATGTACTAGAGCCAGCTCCAAGTGGCTCTCGAGGGTGAGTGTTAAATTTTCAGGGGGATCATTTACAACTTGTGAATCAATACATGCTACAAATCAGGGCTAGATTTATAATTTTGTTGGTTGTTTAGTCTTAAGAAAGTGGTGGAGAAAAAGTTAATTCATATTAATCTAAAAAAGTGTCCTTTCTGGAGAACTGGATGTGAAATACTTGCCAGCATACTTTGGCCTTGGTTTAAGTATAAAATGAAAATTATAATATTACTTTCACTATATATTTCAGGGTTTCTGTGATTTTATACATATATATACACACACACACACACACACCAACACACACACACAAAATTATAGAAATGTCTGTTATTATTATCATTATTATTATTACTACTAAATAATACTGAAAAGTTAAAATTTTTCACAGAACCCCAATAACACAAAATCATTACCTTCATGGTCAAGCACTATGTTTTTTTTTTAAATAAATAACATATCTCAGCTTAAAACTTAAATGTTTTCATAAATTAACAAGTGACCATAGAATCACAGACTCAAAGTTGGAAAGGACATGGTAGGAACACATAATAGGTCCTCAACAGTTAGGATCACAGAACACATACTTAGGGCTGGATAAAACCTGGCAGATCATCTAGGTCCAACTTTTCCTTTTATAGATGAGGAAAACAAGTCCCCAGAAAGATTAAACAACTTTTCCCCCAGAATTAAATAGCTTGTAAGAGGAAGGTGCAGTTAGGTGGTACAGTGATTAGAGAGCGGGGCCTAGAGTCAGGAAGACTCATCTTCCTGAGTTCCAATCTGGCCTCACTTAACCTTATTTGCCTCAGTTTTCTCGTCTATGAAATGAGCTGGAGAAGGAAATGGAAAACTATTTCAGTATCTTTGCCAAGAAAATCTCAAATGGGGTCACAAAGAGTCTGACAGGACTGAAAACAACTGAACGACAAAAAGAGCCTGAAGCAGATTTGATCCCAGGTTCTTAGATACCTAAACCAGCATGGTCTTCATAGGACAATGATGAATGTAATTTCTTAATTTTCAAATACAGAATTCACTTCCAGGGAGCACAAAACCTCCACCTATTTCTTTTTTTTTCTTTTTGGTGAGGCAATCAGGGTTAAGGGATATGCCTAAGGTCACACAGATAGTTAAGTGTCAAGTGTCTGAGACCACATTTGAACTCAGGTCCTTCTGACATCCAGAGATCTACCTACTGTGCCACCTAACTGCCCCACCTTCACCTATTTCTAAAGACCTATCTCCCAATTTTCATTTTGGGCAAGCTATAAACAGCTGACCAAAAGAAATTGTATTTCTTTTTCCTTTTCCTTCTACCCCAAATAGGCCTTTTCCACTCCATATCATGTTCCCTGGCTGAACTAAAAAAGGGACGGTACCTCCTTTGCTCTAAAGTGTTCCTACTAGACAGTTAAAGGAGTCAATGTCATAAAAGGCAATGAAAGTCAGACTTGGAGTTAGGAGGAAATGGGATTGAATCCCATTTTTTATGATTACTATGTTACTAGGAGTAAGTTCATCACCATCTCTGAGTCTTGGTTTCCTCATCTGTAATAATAATAATAATATCAATAATAATCAATTTCACAGGTTATTGTCATAAAGTTAAAATGAGATCATAGAGGATCATAGATCTGGTACTAGAAGTGAGTTCAGATTCCACCTTGTCCATCTCCCACATTGTACAGATGGGAAACTGGAGCCAAGGAAGATAAAATGACTGGCCCAAGCAGATACAGGTGTCAGCGTCAGAGATGGGATTTAAAACCAGGTTCTTTGATTTGAGAATCAATGTTCTTTCTGTTGTTGATGCTGCTTCATAAAGAACTTTACTCAGCTTGCAGTACTGTAGAAAAAACTACCATTAGTATCATTGTTATTATTATGATTATTATCATTGTTTTATCTAGCACCTGTTACCTTTGCCCTTCTCGGGGACACATTTGTCTGGACTACAAAGTCTCAGAATCAGCTACTTTGTCACACACCACCCCTCTCAACATACACACACTCAATAAACTCCACTGGCTCCCTATTTTCTGCAGAGTCAGACACAAAATCTGCTGTTTGGCACTCAAGGCTCTTTATAACCTAACTTCTTCTACACTACACTCCCAACCATGCACTCTTTGATTTGTCGACACTGACCTCCTGTCTATTCCATGAAAAAGCCATTTATATTTCTCCGCTTCATGTATTTTTTTCTCTGTCAGTCCTTCAAACATAGAATGCTCTTTTCTTTTCATCTCTACCTCCTTGGCTTTCCTGGCTTCATTTAAAGTCTCAACTAAATTCCCATAGTCTACAGGAAGACTTTCCCAACTTTTGTTAATTCTAGTGCCTTTTCTCTGTTGATTATATCTTATTTATCTCGTATACAGTTTATTTGTACATATCTGTTGACTTATTGTTGTCTCCATTATATTTTTATCTCCTTGAGGGTAGGGACAATCTTTTGTCTCTTTTAGTATCTTTAGCATTTAGCACAATGCCTGATGCAGGTAGATGCTTAATAAATGCTTGTTGACTGATGTAATATGAATATTTGATCTGGAAAGAACATCAGGACTTATCCAGTCTGATCTCTCCTTTGATAGCAGAGAAAAAGGACAACAAAAGAAGATAATTCCATATCCCTCAGGATACTGAATTTTCATTCACTGCCTTGTATCTTTTCTGAAAGTCTCATTTGTAATTTCCATGGCCATTTCAGCTTCCTATAACTATGGTATTGTTTTGGCCATGTACTAGCCAGGTGGCTAGAAATGGTGTGACTAAATAATATATTAGGATTCTTGTGGGCTGAGTGTTACCTTAGAAAAACACTCATCTGTTATATTGTGTTTTTATTTATTTTATTAGATATTTCCAATTACATTTTTATCTATTGCAGGCCACATTTGAGAGTGTTGGTAGTGGGATGGTGTTTGACACCTCTGTACTAGTCCTTCTGCTAGGGAACCTTTAAAAAGACAATGTAGGGGCAGCTAGGTGGTGCAGTGAATAGAGTACCAGCCCTGGATTCAGGAGGACCTGAGTTCAAATCCGACCTCAGACACATAACACTTATTAGCTGTGTAACCCTGGGCAAGTCACTTAACCCCATTGCCTAGCCAAAAAAAAAAAAAAGACACTGTAGTAATGTTCAAACAAACAACAGAAAGTAACCATACCTGTAAGTAAGGGATCACTTTGCAGAGGGACTGTCCAAAGAACCAAGTCTCTGTAATATCCACCACCAGTGTTGCTGGAAGGCAAGTAATGGTCACAAGCACATCCGCCAGGGAAAGGTTGACGATGAAGTAGTTGGTAACAGTCCTCATGTGATGGTTCTTCCACACTGCAACACAAACTAATTTTGAAAGAAAAATGAGTTGGGACTCAGAGATAACTCAGCCCATGAAAAAGCTTTGCTAAGCTATTTAGTTCTCCACTGATAGGGAAATATCCTAATGGGAAAGTAAAGATGATTAAAGTTAGATGTCATCTTTCTAGAGAAGTGGCCAATCAGGCAGCTGAATACAACAGTTTAAAATGAATATTTTTCACCCATGAGAAGTTTCTGAGAGGAGAAGACGACTGGAATCATCCATCTTATGTTTTGGAGAATCTGTTAACTCCAGTTGTCTGTGACTCCATCTCTTAATAGTGGCGACCATGAAATTGATTTGCACCTGAACTCCAAAAAGTGTAGCTTAGATTACAATTTATTTATTCAGAGAATTGAAGGACATGTAAGTGAGTAGAATGGGAATCACAGAAAACCTCAACATTTCCCCCTCTCTACTACTTTTTAGCTGGATTTTGTCATCTGAAGTTTTCTGCACATTCACATTTAGACTTCCCTCACTTGCTCCTACCTTTGAAAGTTGTCTTGGCTTTTCATTGAAATGGAGCTCTTTCTACTGTTCTCTAGTTCTCCTAGATATTTGTTTATTCAAAAAATTGCATAATCACTGGCATCAGAATGAAGATTCCTTAGATATTTTTGATGAGTTAATGAGAGGCAGATTGAGAAAGAGATTAGGGTACTGGACTCTGGACTCAATCAGAAAAGCTTTGGTTGAAATCTTGCCTCAGATAGTAACTGGGTGGTATTGGACCTTGGTGAGGGGGAAAAAAGTACTATGCTAGGCACTGATGTGTGTCTGTGCTGTGATGTCAGGATCCTGGTCCCTACACAAGCACAGCTGTGACTCTGGACAATCAGGGGCCTTAAGATTGACTTCATTGCTTTTGTTCAGTCATTTTTCAGTTGTCTCTGACTCTTTGTGAGCCAATTTGAGGTTTTCTTGGCAAAGATACTGGAGTGACTTGTCATTTCTTTCTCCAGCTCATCTAACTAGCCTGGGCATATTTACTTTCTGTTTCCATTTTCTCAGCCTCAGTTTCCTTTCTGTAAGATGGAGATACCGGTACAAATGGCATTTACCTCATAGGATTGTGAAAGTCAAAAGAGATATGTAAAGTGCTTTGAAAACCTTAGAGGACTATATAAATATGAGTTGCTATAACAATAATAACAGCAACAATAATAACTATTATTGTAATCATCACTATTATTGGATTACCTTAGCTACAAATTACTATCTGGGTTTTATTTGTCTGTCAATACTACGGCATGGCTATTATCAGCATAGCCTAAATGAAGTAGTTCCTGGTGATTAGGATAAAAAACCTTAAGTAATGAATCTAAGATGGAGAATAGAGGAATAACCTGGAAGTCAGTAAGACCTGGGTTCAAGTCTTACATCTGATACATATAGTCTGTATAACCCTGGGCAAGTGACTTACCCTTTCAGTAGACCCAAGCAACTTCCTAAGACTTTAAGTTACAGAGGAACTCCTGTTATATGCTTGACAAAATCACATGCCCATATCAACATTATATTGAAAGAAGCTAAAGAAATATTACAAATGATTTAAGTTTGAGTTTTTTCTAAACTGAAAATAGTGACTTTACAATTTACTAAGAATTTTATTTATTAAAACTCTATTTTTTTCCAACCATTGAAACTCAACTGTCCCTTCAGGCCCTATCAAATGCTTACCAAAGGATGTCTGAATTTCTGAAGCTTGATTTTAGGGGATTTCACACCTGATTTGAGACTTTAACAGCCCAGTTCTTAAAACTCAGCCAAGCTCAAAAAATGGAGAATGATAGGTTTTGAATTTGAAAATTGTGATTCTGCCAGTGTTATTTTTTAGCAAAACTTACATCACACACACACACACACACACACACACACACACACACTCACACACACATTTCTCCTCACACTATAAGATGCATGATTAAGTCAGTGCCACATAGGTCACAGCAGGCTAGAAAATGAACAGCATTATCTCCAGTCAAAACTTGTCATTATTCACGTTCAGGTTTTGTACTTTCAGTCAACAAATGGCTCAGACTGTTCAGATTGTCTTTGTCCTGGACAAGATAAACAGGACACTCTTTTAAAACATAGTTTTACCTGACTTTTTAAATTGGCTCAGTTCTCTCCTATCACTTATAGCATCTGAGCAGTCTAAGGCATGTTTTGTGTATGTGGTGTAGAGGGCTAGAAGGGGGACATCATACCAAGCATTAGTCTACCATTGGTGCCAGGATTCAGACCCCTTTGTTGCTCAATCATTTCAGTCATGTCCAACTGTTCCTTACCCCCATTTTGGGATTTTCTTGGCAAAGAAACTAGAGTGGTTTGCCATTACCTTCTCTAGCTCATTTTACAGATGAGAAAACTGAGGTAAAAAAAATTAAGTGATTTGCCCAGTGTCACATAGCTAGAAAATGTCTGAGGCTGAATTTAAACTCAGGTCTTCCTGACTCCAGGCCTAGTGCTCTACCCACTGTTCTTCCTAGCTGCCCCTCCTAGGAAAAATTGTGACTCTGGAAAAATAAGGGCTTTAAGACCAACTACTCTGAATATGTTTACCGTCTGAGTAGCATCTCTCTCTTGTGGTATTTATCAGGGGCTCAATGAATACTCTCAACTCTCTCTTCATTAAATCCCCATTTCAGGAATGGAGGAAATCATTTACACTGTATCACTGAGGAGAATACTAAGGATTAGAAAGAGAGGACAGGCCACATGTGTGACTTTGGGAAAGCCACTTAATCTTCCTAGGGAAACATTTGCTTCATCTATAATTTATCATCCTCATCATCACCATCATTTGATAATGGTTGGATTATATGGTGACTAAATTCCCTTCTAGTTCTAGAGCTATGTGTGACCTCCTGATATCCATCCAAACAATGATGTTAGCATATCTATAAAATGATCACAGGAAGTATAGATTTAGAGCTACAATGACCCTTAAAAGTCATTGAGTCCAACCCCTCCCCCCCACCTTAAAGATGAGTAAACAGAGGCAGAGAGGTTAAATGATTTGCCAGGGATCAAACATCTCGTAATTTTCTGAGGCAGGATTTAAACTTAGACCTTTCTAATTTCAAAGTTCTATCCATTCTTCCACGTTGCCTCAAAGCAAAGGCCTCATTATTCTTTGGCTCAAAACATGTGAAGGGCAACCCCAAGACTTAAGGAGGTAGCAGTGATGTCCTCATTTGACTCCGCAGGAAAGAGAAGAGACTTAATGATGTCTAAGTGGATGTGCTTTTGCTTACATTCGCTCAACTTCTCCTTGCCAGGTACACATTAAGGATTCAGAGAACTTACTCTCTTCCACTGAAGGCAAAATGAGAAAGGCACACTTTATTTTCAGTGCCCATATTGACCTTCTTTTTTGATACTCCTTCCCTTCCTTTTGTCACTACCTCTCCCCGCAGGGGCCCAGACAGACAGAAGGGGATCTTCCATTTTGGGTAGGCCTCATCTTCTACTAGACCATCTCTCAACTTTCCCTCCTACCTCCTATCACATGAAAATTTGTCTGTCCTATGTATGGTTTTCCCCAGGTCTCTGTTTTCTCTTAGGTACAGTAACTAATCTAATTAATTCATATTAAAGTAGTCAAGAAGTAGTAATGCATTTATCAGGGACCAATTAAAGATACTATCTTTGTTTGATGAATAGGAATTTCAGATCTTATGTTAATTAAGCCAGCAGGGGAGATTTTAAGAGACAGGAGCTGGTCTGCCCTTCAAATCCTACCGTATGTGAAATTATTCTTTCTGCTTCCATGGAGGGGCAGCCCTGCTCCTCACACTAGTTAAGTGGAAAATGATGGGAATTCCAGGGAACAAGACAAAACCAAAAAACTCCTCCATTATACACAAGAGGATATAAGGATAGGAATTGATCTTACATAGTTTACCTGTTCTTTGCTTAAAAGCTAAATGAATTTGGAAACCATATTAATGAATAGGGAAGTACTTATCTACTCAATGGTAAGAGAAGCTTAGTAAAGTTAGAATGAATATTACTGAAATTAATTAAGACAATTAATTCCCTGGAATAAGAAATTATTCTAAACAGCTATAAATTAGTGAAACATGTATTTAGTATCTGACGGAAAGGCCCAGTCTAAAAGCTAGGGATACATTAAATTGAAAAATAACTCCTGCCCTCAAGGACCTTACCTTCTACTGGAATCAGATTACAAGAAGTTGTACCCAATCTGAGCACTCACGGGGACATTTCAAATGATGATGAAAGATGATAGCAACAATGGCGAAGAAGATGATGATGATGATGGTGCTGGTGGTGGTGGTGGTGGTAGTGGTGGTGATGATAATGTTGATAATGACAGAGGAGGAGGAAGACTCCAAATGAATATGATTGGTATCTTATTGGGAATCCTGGGAGGGATAAATTTATGTTTAATTCATTGTTTAAAACCTTGAATAGTTATTTTCTTTCACTAACATTAAATCACATCCCAATACACTTCACTCTCTTCTTGTCAGAAGAAAGGGACTGTGTATGTGGAATATGGAATATAGTATCATATGTGATTAATCTGTTGATTTTTTTTCTGAAAAGCTTTTTTAGTCTTTTAAAAATTATAGCAAGCAATAAATTGTTTAGTGGAGAGAGAGAGGGAGAGATGTTTTCAGAAATAAAGGTGGCATAAAAAATAAAATAAGCTTTGACTTGGGATTGCATTGCACTAGAGAATTCCTGCATGAGAAAGTCCCTCTTCCAAAATAGATTAGTACTTTATCTGCAACTTATTGTCTTAAAGAGTTGTCTAAAGAATGAAGGAGTTAGGTATTGGAGATGGGACTTGAATTTGAGGCTTCCTGGCTCCTGGCATCTGGATCAGCTCTCAGATCTGCTACACATCCATTACATCACGTGTCATTTGGAAAAACAACATGTTTTTAGACAATTGTAATAGATTGAAATCACTTAATGCTTAGTTTCATTCCCTAGCCTAAATGTT